AGCTGTAATATAAATAGTAAAAGAATAGTTAAAATAGCTTCCTTTTCTAAAAATATTATTCCTACATATTTATTAAAATACTAAAATTAACAAAGTGGGGCTAATAAAAAATAAATCAATTTAATATAATCATGTAAAAAAAAATGACTTTAAATTCATTAAAGAAAAACTAAAGCATTTTTTTTTCTCTCTCCAGTACAATTGGCTTTTCAAATGATTTTTTTATTGGAACATAAATAGTAAACAAAACTATATTTATTATATTTAAAATATTATAATAACATTTTGATATTTTAAAATAGCATTTTGCTTTGGAAATGCTTTTAAAGCATAGCTTGCCTATGTCACTTATAATAAGTGATAATTCTAGTTCAAGTGATTATGATATATATAAAAAATTAAGAGATAAATGATAAAATAAAAGGATATATATAGAAAATTAAGAAATAAATGATAAAATAAAAGGAGAGATTAGAAGATAAAAAATGATGGATTACACAAAGACCAAAATTTATAAGGCTTGATTGGATCTCAATTTAATTATTGACTCTATCGTGATATTAAAAATATAGTTAGATATTTGTATATTTAATTTTATAGTTTTTGATTTGGTCTTGATCCAATCAAATCAAAAAAAATTTTGGAAATACTTTTAAAAATAGTATTTTGTTTTGAAAATGCTTTTGAAAATAGATTGTTTATGTCACTTATAGTAAATGATAATTCTAATTGAAGTGATTATAACATATATAAAAAAATAAGAGATAAATAATAAAATAAAATAAAATTAGGAGATAAAAATTGATAAATTACACAAAAACCAAACTTTTTAAGGTTTTATCGGGTCTTGATCCAACTATCAACTCAATTATAATGTTAAAAGTATGATTAGACTAATGCATATTTAATCTTGTAATCTTTAATTTGATTTTGATGTAATCAAGCCAAACAAATTTTTTTTCATGTATTATCACTAATGATATAATTTCCACAAAATTTTGAATTATCTGGCTCCAAATCTAGGAAAAGAAGGGTTCATGTTAATGTGCAGGAATTTTCTTTTTTTTTTTAAATAAAAAAAAGAAAGAGAAAAAAATTGCCAAATCAGTGAAGTCTCATTACGGAAAAGAAGAAAAAGCAAAGCAAAGCAAAAAGACTCAAAGGAACGCATAGACAGAGGGAGATTGAAGAACACAGAATCTTAAAAAAAACACGCACAAACTTCCACTTATGACGCTTTAAATGAAGATTTTCTATTTTAAAAATAATCTTAAAATCCACAAATAAATAGATCTTCTTCACGAGCCTCTACCTCTCTACCTATACCTGTCAGACCTTACCTGTACCAAGTGCTATTTTTGGTGCTTTACAGTTTGTACTGTACATACAAAGCCTAGAGCGAGAGAGGCTACAGGGAGACAGCCCACGATCTATGCATCTTCCTTTTTCTTTTTCTTTTTTCCGGGTTTGACAGCCCCACAAGAAATAGATTTTTGAGTTATTAAGGGCTAAAGCTAAAATCAATCATGCCATCAGGTGCTAAGAAGAGGAAAGCTGCCAGGAAAAAGAAGGAAAAGGAGGTCAGCGACAACTCTTCAATCAGCAGCAACAATCCTCAAGGTTTTTTTAAAGAAAAAGGAAAAGAGAAAAAAGATGTTTAAAGGGTTTTCACTTTGAGTACAACCACCCATCACTTGCCACTCTGTCACTCAATTATACACTCACTTACTGGCCTTTTTTTAAATTTTTGTTTGATAAGCTATTTGAATTTGAGTCATGGGTTCTTGTTGATAAGTCTTGTTTTGATTGCGTTTGAGTGGATTGGTGTATTTCTCTGTGCAATTTTGTAGTAATGGGTACTTTATAATGGCACTTTGATTTTGTAGTTTTGGTGTTTTTGTGGATTTTGGGTTAATGGGTGTGTGTTGACATCGTTTGTTGATCGAGTTTTTTTAGGTTTTTTTCACCTACTGATTTTGGTGTTTTTGCCAATTTGGTTAATGGGTATCCTTTTCATGTCCTTCTTTTAGCTTTGCTCTGATTGGATTCTTGGTGGTTATTTTATTTTTAGGGTATTTGGATTAGATTCATTTGTTTATGTTTCATGTTTTTCTTGATCTGATGGGAATTGTGTGGTGGTGGTTTATTTTTTTTCCCGAGGTTTTGGTCTTAAGAATTTGCTTAGAGATTTTGATTGTGATGGTTTAACTAACTTACAGGCCCATGCATGTTTAACTCCCTTCAAATTTGGTTAAGTTTAGCATATCAACTCAATTTACATTTGTTGATGTTCCTTGTTTCTCTTGAACATTGTTGCGATGTAGTTGAAATGTTTGCCTCCCACTTAATTATCATGCCATTCTGTTTGGCGCACGTTTTAAGTTTGTTTTAATCAATTTGGTTTCATGTTAGTAACAAAGTTAGTTGATCTCTTATCAGTTGCTTGATTCGATGCATCCAATCCATTACTGAGTGCTCTCCTACTTTTCATCACATCAGTTGCTTGAAAGTGATGCGATTTCTTTTGCTTGATTAGATGCATCCAATCCATCACTGAGTGCTCTCCTACTTTTCATCACATAATGATATTGATTCAATGAGCATATCTTTGTTAGTTTTTTTGTCCTTAAATTTGATTAAAATTCGGTTCTTTAACCATTTTCTGACTGGAACTTGTGATTTTGTCAATGGTTTTAGGAAATGGTGATCCAAAAAGCTCTGATGAGAGAGAGAATGATGGTGGTGAGATTGTTTCCCCTGTATCACTGGACCAACATAACCACCAGCATCCATTTAATGAGGGTAATGGAGAATCTGAGAAAGGAGGCCCATCACCTGCCGATTCATTTGCCCACCAGAACAAGCCCATGGAGGGAGTCCCTGGGGATGCAGAAGGAAGCCATAAAGTTGAACTAGAGGACAACAGTGCTATTAAAATTGAGAGAGAAGTGAGCTCTGAGCAAAATGTGGAAAGTAAAGATATTAATGAGTATGTTGATTGTCCAAAGGAATCTCATGGTGAAGATGATGGGAGCTCTAGCAGTAGTAGTTCCAGCAATGAGTCTCAAGTTTTTGAGAAGAAATCAAAGGAAGCCAATGATGATGAGGACAAGGAATTTGGTTCTTTTCCTAAAGAGGTGAAGCAGATCCCTGAAAATGAGAAACCAGTCAAGGAAGTTAATAATAATTCAGTCTTGGAAACTGCTTCAGCTGTTTATTTGGTGAATCCTGTGGTGCCCATTTCCGAGACAGTGAAATTTGATATGGAGAGTGCTCAAGTTGAAAATTCAGAGGTTCTGGAAGTGGTTGAATCTGGTTTTGAGGAAAATGAGGACAGATTGTTGCCTATATCCAATGAGGTTGTTGAAGTTTCACCAGCTATTGTGGTGCCAAAGAAAAATGAAGATAAAGTTTTTCCCATCTCAAATGAGAATGTTGGGGCATCTTCAAGTGTGGTTGGTTCTTCTGTATATGGAAATTTAGGGAAAACAATGGCATCATCAGGCAGTCATTCCACTGAAACTGGTAATAGTGCAGACAAAAACAAAGACACCGATGCTCTTGAAAGCACTGAAAACCAGGTTTGTTTCTTCTTGATTGTGATTTGATCTATCATTCTTTTTCTTGAATATGTTGCGCTAACAATTGAATATGCTCTGTGTTGCTGAATTTGTCTGCAGCTTCTTCTTGCTTCTGCTCCACAAGTAGCAGAAAGAACATCTTGTTTGAGTTGCTGTGGTTTATTTGATGTTTTTACAGGCACCAATAGATAATTTCAGGTTAGTATTGCCTCAATTTAAATCAGAATGACTTGGATTGGATATCGAGATCTTGTATATATACTGCAAATAGATATGCCTAGTGACTTTCAGGTACCATTTTGTTGTGATCTGTTTTGATGCCCTGTTGTGCCCCCATTTTTCATGTGTTTTGTAGATATGTTATTTATTAAAAATTCAAATAATGCATTGCAAATCATAGAGCCTCAATTTCAATTTGTTTGGTTGTGGGTCTTAGCAGTTTTGTGAAGCACATGCAAGCTCATAAATTTACTAATCTAGGGATTCCTTTTACTTTTTTGGTCATATAGGCATTACTTTTACTCCTCTCTTTCAACATTATGGCAGAACTCTCAAGAAATCTGAATCATTATAAAGATAATTCTTTCATGAGTCGGTTTTAATGGGGCTGGTAAATTGGAGCTGGTGCCTATTTGTGCCAGATCACTTAGGAATAGTATAAATTCTCTGCTGTAGAAAATCCAGGGATTTTTTTGGGCAACTTATTTTATTTTTTAATTTTTTATAAATTTTTTTTGAGTTGTTGAAAATGCAAATTCCAGCTTATTTTGAGTTATCCCTTTCCCTCTTCTTTTTCTTTCTTTGAGTTATGAAAAAAAGAAGCAAATTTGAAAAGATTCTTAACTGAAAATACCAATTACGAGGTGCTTGCCCTTCTAAACTTTTCAGATCAGTAATGTTTAACAGATTCTTTTCACTGGATTCGTTTTCTATTCATATTTTGATTTGGTTGAACTATGTTTGAAGGCTTTTGGTTTTTGTGCTTTGCACAAGGCCTTGGTTCAACAACTCTCTAGAACTATGATTTTTGCACATTTCCATATGGCTGTTGTCTTTTCTTTATATGTTGTGCGGTATAAATTTATAGCTCCCCCCATACATCTATTGCAGAAGCAAGCGCGAGCTTCAGGAAGCTGTCCGTGAGCTGGGAGTCTGAGAAGGATTTGGTTTGTAGTAGTTTGAGATAACAGGAGTTAGAATCTCTTGGAAAGTTTTCCCCAATAAGTGCAGAAAACCTGTATAGGTAAAACAATTATATAAACTTTGCAAACAGTGAGTTTCAATATTGGGGGGTAGCTTTAGTTTACCAACCCTAAGCCTCATTTTCTCGTTGATTTTTGATTGTGTCAGTATACCGGGTGTTGTATGTTGTTCATTTTTTACCAGATTGATGATATGAAACTCACCATTCCAGTATGAGAACAGTGTTTTTCTCCTTCCCCCCTTTCCTTTCTTGACTCTTGTCCTCGTATTTTTATTACTAGCTGAATTGTGTGACTCATTTACATCTTCTTTTTTTCCCCTTAAAAAAAAAAATTTCAGCAATTCTACCTTTTCTCAAGCATGTCATCAGCTGTGCCCTCTGGAATATATGCTATGGATGCCATATCTTTGCTTTTCTTTTCGCAAGTTACAGTGGGCATTAGAAGTCTAAAGAATGCCTATTCATGGTAGGTAGAGATTCATGGTGTTCGAGTATGTACGAGAATGATAAAAGCTTGTTTTTTAAAATAATATTTTTATATTTTTTTTAAAAAAATATATATATAGTTCACGGTATCCCATTGACAATAAATAAATAAAAAATAATAATGACAAAAACTATCTATATATAAAATCATCAATACCTAGATAAGGGCGCCTCAGGAACCACAAAATAAAAAATAAAAAAAGTTGCAGAAAACGATGATCAAAACCACGTGCACTAAGAGGAGCAAATAGTAATTGAGTGATTAATAATTAACAACAAGAGACCGTAAAATGAAAATATGATTTTGGACACCATTTCCTTTGTTATTTGTTCATAAAAATCCAATCAAATCACATGGAAAAACATCAATCTGCTTACAGCCCCAAAGAGCTGGGAAATTAAAAAAAAAAACATTGAAAACACACCAAGCATGCATAAATTAAAGGGACTATGAATTCTTTCAAGCTCTTCCACTTGATGAGGCGCCATGGATGGCTGCTATGTATAGAAGCTGCGTAGCAGAAAGTATGATCATAAATGCTTCCATGGTTCTCTGCAGAGAGATGATTACTTGTGTTCAAATTCTTGAACATGATTATACGTAAAACTAAATTCTTGGCTAATTAATCTAACACAGCAGTAGTGGAGTCAAAGAAATCTGATAAAGCTGTTTATCATTCTTACCAGGCGGGCGTTCCTGATAGATAGCTCAATTTCTTTGCTGGCAAAGCTGCGCAAATTTTGTTGCCAGTCAGTAATCAACATGGCAAGAAGAAACATATATATCTTTTTTTTTTTTTTTTCCGTTTTGAATGTAAATAGAGCCTTTTAATCTGTCTTAAGAAAAACACTTTCTTTGACCTCAATCATGGAACTATTTTGATAGTTAATTGCTAAAATAGTTGCTGAGAGGGAGGGCAAAGGCTGATGGATGGTGGTTGCTTACCCCATGGCTAGAAGAGTGAGAGCCCAAGCAATGGCAGCAGCGGAGGCGGCGGATGGCATGCTATCTCTGTGCCAAGAGCGAATGTGATTAAGACCAACAATGGCCGAGGCAACACCAACAACTCCGGCAATCAAAGAGAATGTCACGAAGAACCCAGTGGCAGCATTTCCCATCGGGAAGAAAATGGGAGAGAAATGTGCTGGAAGGTCATACCCAGGTCCTGAAATTAAGTTGTACGTGACATAATTACGGCATAGACCACGCTAGCAGAAGACAATATATAGCAAGCAGTGCATGATTATCAGTGAAGGAAGACAAAAACAGAGAGAGTGAAGGCGGGGAGAGGGTGATTTACCGATGATGAAGCCATAATCAATGGCTCTATTCATAGCCCAACCGCCAATGCCTAAAACGATGATATACATGATAAGATTTAAGACTAAAAGCAGCAAGGCAACAGGTTTCATCTGCTCGGAGGCCATTCTTGTGCTGTAAACTGAACTATGTGAAAGGACGAAAGGGATTTGGAGTTATTTTATTTTCCCGAGGGCTCCAAAAAGATTCAATTCATAAAAGACTAAGAAAGTACGAGTGTTTAGGGTCAGAAGATGTGTTATTTATAAATGGCATTATGGTTCTTTGCTTGTTAAGCCTGCGGTTCGAGAACTTAGTGGGGGTTGAGGATGCTTTATGTTCAAGGCAACCCTCCAGAATCACAATATTCTTACTTGGTTTGCATTTTTATCTAATTCTTTGCAAGAGGCACTTTCCTACCATTTTAGCTGTTGTTCGGAGGAAAAGTGATATTCTGTGCCAGGCGGTGGTGTCCAAATCCGATTACTTGTACACCTCGCTCTTTTTTTTTTTTCTTCTAAAAACAAATAAACTTCGATCTTCAAACTTTATATGGTATGTGATATAACAAACCTCCTATTAAAATTGTGGAATTTGGGAGATGTACTTTCTGAAAAGAATAGAGGTTATTTTATTGAAATGAATTGAATTGAAATTAAGTAACCGAGGACTTGATTGCAATATCTAAGACAGAAAAATGAATTTTTATCTATTTAACCTTATTTATAATAGAACTGGTTAATATTTTATTTGAATTTTAAAAGACTATTCTTGATTATTGAATCTGATTTGGGGTCCTTGATTTGTTGAAGACTAATTCCTTACTAGTTCAAACGTTGTTGTTTTCCCTTACACAAATATATAGTTCAACTTGTGTGTTTACCATGTAAGGATCTCTGAACATTGACCGTCCAATTTTCTTCATCTGCATTGTTTGTTTATAACATTAAGCATCAACCATCCACGTTTCTAGTATTAACCC